TTCGGCTGCCGACGTCGTATCAATGCCCATTTGTTTGGCGAGCGACTCAACTGCCTTATTGGATGCTACGACATCAAGTTCGAAAGTGCCACCCAGCAGCTTTGACGGTAGTCTTCCTAATGCCAGGTTCGCATCCGTAACGGTCGCTTGTACACCACCTTTGCCGTAAGCTGCCGGACCTGGTGTGGCGCCACTGGACTCTGGTCCTACACGCAGACTCTTGGTGAAGTCGTTGTATACTGCAATAGAGCCTCCGCCAGCCCCCACTGTATTTACATCGACTGATGGCGCGCGCACTGACAGATGACCAATTTGGGTTTCTTGTCGGATGATGGCCTCACTACCTTTGAGCAAAGCGCAGTCAGTGCTCGTGCCGCCCATATCAAACGTTATGAGATTCTTGTAGGGTGTGTTTTTGGCAACCAAATGCGAGACAGCCTTGACACCACCAGCTGGGCCACTCATGAGAATGCGCACAGGTGTCTCGCCTGCGAGCTGTACTGAAGTCAAATCTCCATCAGACTTCAGGATCCGAATTACATCGGTATCTTTGGCAAGCTTGTTCTGGAGGTTCTGCATGTATTTCTTGACTACCGGTTTGACCATTGCATTTGTAGCTGTTGTGGCCGTGCGCTCGTATTCTTGAATCTCTGGCAAGACGTCCGCTGATGTGACAATCTCAACGTGTGGCCCAAATTCTTCATGCAATATAGTCTTGATGCGCTCTTCATGGGCGTTGTTGGTAAATGAATTCAGCAAGGACACGGCAATCGCTTCGGGCTCTTGTTGCTTGAGGTCCTGCAAGTCATGCCGAAAGCGCTGTTCATCCAATTCGCAGTAGACACTGCCATCAATTTTGATGCGCTCTTTGACTTCGATGGTCCGTTCTAGAGGTACAAGAGGCTCAGGTTGCTCGTAGTTCATCCAAGCTCCGAGTCCACCTGGAATATGGCTCCGTCTGACAGCCAAGATGTCCTTGTGGCCCTTTGTAACGATAAGGCCGCATTTGGCGCCCTTGGCTTCAAGGACAGCATTGGTGGCAGTTGTGGTGCCATGGTGTATGTATTGGAATTTACCTTGCCAGTTGTACTTTTCTTTCAGGATCTTACGGGCTTGCTGCACACCTTTTTGCACTCCAATGGACTGGTCCTGGGTGTCCGTGGGTATCTTTGTGCGAACGGCCTCTCCGCTGGGGGTAATTACACAGACTGAGTGGGTTAAAGAATGAATGTGAGGGCTACATGAGATGATGCCTACCATCGGTAAAGGTCCTGGGCTCGAGTCAGCCGCACGCTATTGTCGCTTTTCCGTGTCTGGTGGCGTTTGAAGGGAGGGGCAAGGGGATGTAGCCGTGGCTACGGGGCAAATGCAACATCTCGGACATGATGTGATTCGAGACTAGCAGCTGTGTAAGTATGCCGGGTTTGGGCGATACTTAGGCAGCCAGTAGAGTAGATTTGGAGCGACACATTACTCACCCTCCTACGTCAACTCCCAGCCTGTATCCAGGGACGGCCATGCTGCGGGGGTGATTTCTCGAGGCTGGCAGCCGATGTGCGGCTGGGGATCAGATATAAAGGGGCGGGTCGGGTCGGCGATGGGCTGTCAGTTGGCCCTGCGTCATGTCTGAACTATGCTTTTCTGCCACTCGAGAAGAAAAAAGCGGCTTGCCGCCAAACTGGGGCCGCCGCCGAACGGGCAATAGTAACGGCAGCTAAGCAATGTGTATTCGGCAACTGGCTGCGTGTGATATCAATCGCCCCACGGCTGCCGCTGTTGAAATTCCCGTATAGAGTTCTAGTCGTGCGCCTATCCCGGATGTCGACAGCCATGTGCCAGTACCATTATGCAAGGTGTTTCGCTGATCCGACTGCCATGGCGTAGATGCAAATGGAATATCGACGGTTATCAGTGGCAGCCTCTGGCTCCTGTGTGCGGGGTTCGCTAGCTGCTGAGCGGCCGGGCGGTCAGCCATGTCTATCAACGAAGTCCTTGGTTCGGGCGCCTTGTACGCTGCGACATTTACTGTTGCCGTTCTTTGCCTAATCTGACGTTGGTGAGCCTGAGGCACGTGCAGTCAGCTGTTGTGTGTGTGTGTGTGTGTGTGTGTGTGTGTATGTGCCTTCCTCGGTTGTTCCGCGTCCATCCGATCTGCCATGCGCTGGGCCCATTGCTCACCATCCAGCTATGTGAGGACTGTCGCTGCATGACACTACAGCACATTACCAATGCCTTGTTCGTGCTCAAATTTCTCAATACTTTTATCTACTTTGTTTGTCTTCTCCTTCGTCATAATCATCATACCCCATCATCTTGCAGCCAGCATCTCCAAAAACTTATCTCCAAGAGCATTCGCCGCCATCGGGTTATCTCCCGTTACAAGCTCCCTATCTACAGTGATGCTGCCCAGACTTTTCCCGATACCCTCCTGCATATCAGCACCTTCTTCCTTCAGCGTACTCTCAACCTTATCAATCTCACCCCTCAACATCGTCTCCATCATCTTCTCCTCTGCATCTGACCAGCTCGTCATCTTGTACCCCTTATATTCAAATTCCTTCTTAGGTCCATACTTAGTCGACAAAAACGCCCACGGGCCATGGCAGATGGCTGCTGTGGGCTTCGACTCGCCGTGAAAATGCGATAGCACACGGCCCAGATCTGCATTGTCTCCGAGATCCCTTAGAGGTGCATGTCCTCCAGGAATGAAGACACCGTCGAAGCCCTTGAGCTCCTCATCGCTGATTTCAGCAAACTTCCTTGGCCTTGAGAATCCGTTTTCCTTCTTCATCCTTTCAATCAGGTTCAGTTCGCGCTGCTTCTCGTAGTAGTTGCCTGCAAAGGCGGCGAGTGACACGCTCAAAGGGTCTGGTGTGGGTTCTTTGCCCTCGGGCGATGCAAACGTAACTTCATAGCCTGCGTCTAGAATCTTGGATAGTGGTTTGGCGAGCTCCATGAGAAAATAGCCAGAATCCTGTGAGACTGTTTTCCCATCGCTACCCGTGTTGTATAGAGGGAAAGAGCTGGCGTCAGAGAGGACGATGAGAACCTTTTTGTTTGGTGCCATGGTGACTTATGCGTAGGTGCAGTAGCAAGGTTTCCACTCAATTTGTGATTGAAAAGACTTGAATGGGTATTAAAGGGTATCAAGAAACTAGGCAAGTTGATGAGTATCTCGTAAGGGCTCTATTGAATTGTATGCGCTTTTCATGCCTAGTGTAGGTCAGGATGACGTAGCCATATTTTTGCGCGTCGCAAACGTCACATGCGACGCGCTCACTTGAGTCTCCAATATTTTTCGCAGTCCCATTCTAATATGCCGGGCAACCTCGGCACCTATAACAACAGTGCTCAAAGCTGGAACAGATGAATCATGTGTCAAGTCGAGTCCAGATAGGACTACAATCGTTGGCAAAGCATCGCAAGTTACGAGATTATCTGGCCTAACGGATTAAAAGTTCAGGTCAGAATTTTTTTTATACCTAGCACTAATCATGACTAACGGTAGGATCCCATGAACAAGGCTCATACGCTCCAGTATCCAGACTCTTCATGTCTTGTTCAGAGAGTTCAAAGGAATAAATCTCTGCATTCTCCTCGATCCTAGATTTGGTAACAGACTTTGGTAGTGGTACAAATCCCTATCCTGGTTGTTAGTCCCTGTAAGCGACCAGCAAGGGCTTTGAACATACCATCTGCAAGCTCCACCGTAGCAAGATTTGTGACGGTGTCTTGCTGTACTTTTGCGCAAGCGAGTTGAGCAAAGGGTCGTCATTCTTGGTAGCGCGTACAATCGGACAATATGCTTCGCACAATACACCCCGCTTCTTGCACCACTCTGTAATATCAGGCCGCGCAAGCCAAGGATGTAGTTCGACCTGGTTGACGCTAATAACTCCACCCTTGCCTTTACCCTCTTTCTCTTCCGTCTCTCTGATCCATGTCTCGAGCTCATCAAGATGGTGCACACCGTAGTTGGACACGCCAATGGACCGGATTTTACCCGCTTGTACACCCTCAACGAGTGCTTTCCACGCGCCGATTCGGTTAGCCTTGCCACCATATGGGCTGTGTAGCAGGTAAAGATCAACATAATCAAAGCCCGTCTTTTCAAGAGTACTGTCAATGTGCTTTTTTGCCGTTTCGTAAGACATATCCTTTGGCGGAATCTTTGTGGTGAAGAAGAGGTCTTCCCTGGGGATTCCTGACTTCTTCATACCCTCGGCGGAAGGTGCTTCATTCTTGTATGCCACAGCTGAGTCTACATGGCGATATCCGACTTTGAGTGCATGCTGAACCACTTCCGTGGCAATTTCTGCAGGTGTTTGATACACGCCATAGCCAAGTACGGGGATCCTGTAGCCTGATGGCATCAAGTACCGAGATTCGATGGTCAGAGCCGTCATGTTGGTTGACGAGACGTGAAGGAAACGGGGTGAATTGATGGATGGAAGTTGAGAGGTCAAACGCGAGATTCGTCCCAATGCCGTGCGCATAATACCTAGTTCCGTTAACAAAGTAAAAAGACAATAGGCCTTTTGTAAGTGAGCTTCGCCGTTCATAAGACATCAAACACACAGAAGCATTACGTATAGATGCACGGCCTGGTGGCGGAGTTTTCGGAGATAACACACCCTGACAAACGAGTAAAGAGCTATTGGTGGCAGCCTTCGTGGATGACAACGTGTGCGTGTCGGCCGTTAGTTTCTTGTCCGACTTATCCCACATGCCCCTCACGACAACCTCGCAACTTAACACCCCAAACCTCACACCTTTTCAAACTTATCCTACATTCCGTCCCAAAACGGCAGTATTAATGGTAATTCGATGCACACATGTTCCACAGCCCCGGGATACGGCGCAGCAACACATTTAACCTAGACAGAACACCATGACCGGTTAAATATTAAACGTCTCCTATCACGCTCAGTGCGCTTGCTGTAAACGCTCATGTATCCAGTGCTCTAGACTTGCACACAAGCGTCGCGTCTACAAGTCTCATGCGCACCCTGGGCGGCTTCGCGGGCCTCAGCTGCACGGCACCCGACTTGACGGACGCCATAAGCGCTAGAAGGGCCGAAGAAGATCTGGGGAAGATACCGAACAAGAAGGTCAGTGGGGCGAAAACAAAGTACACACAATTCCGTGCCTAATCGTGGACGCTGCTAGAAGCCACCGTGCATGCCTATACGAGCTTACAAGTCTGCAAAGCTCCCGGACCTTTTCGTCTGCATCTGCCACTTTGCCATTGTACCATGGACATGCGCTTGCTCAAAGCGGACATTCACTTGCAGCCTTCATCCGTCTCCGTATTCACCGGTAGATCGGCGTTTGACTCCGCACCTCGGCAACATTCCCAGGACATGTCTTACGTTTCTGAGCTTGGCAGACTCTTCGACTCGTTCAACAGCTCTTCAACATTAGCCGATAAACACGTCGTGCAACCCATCCTCGATGGCTTCCGATCGCATCTTGGTTTTGAAGATCGATTTCAGCCGTGGCTTCGAGCTTTGTCCGCCCGTCAGCCTGCTACCCAGACGATTTGCAAGCTCGAGCAATCGTTCATCAGCTGGAGAGAGGGGAGGGTGGGGGAGGCATGCTGATGCACACGTGCAGCATGACCTCACGAGCCCGAGCAGACGGCCTTCCTTGCCGCCGACGAACCCTGTATGGTGCGGCTAAATGGACTGCAGTTCAACAACGCCTATGATTATCGGCCGAATCCATTATGCAAACCCGTAGGAAGGGAAACACCACTTCGCTAATGTAGGGCGCAGATCATGAAACATGGACCCGGTCGAGGCGCTGGACCAGAGTGAGAGTGCTCTTTCACAAGTACAGCGCTTTGCCCCTCCGTTGTCAACCTCCCAGTTACCCCTCGAGTTCCCAGGCTCCTTGCTCGCTCTGTGGCTCGACATATATCTCGACTATGGCTCTATCAGGAAGGTTCCACAAAATCCAAGTCTCCAAACTGACTCTCGGCTTATCGCCCGTTCAGCAACGTGGATGACTTCTCGGGGATTGACCAATGTAACGTTCGCCGAGCACGCCATTGGGCCTCCCGCGCTCCTCAGCCGAGTCACGATTGGGTGCTGACTCTACGAACACGAAAAGCAAAGACCGCTGTCGAGTGCCGACAGCCACCCATCTGAGACCGCAATGGCCTCCGGGCAACTGCGAGATGCACACCGACTCGCGGGCGTGGGGGTTTACTACGCCTGCTTTAATGCTGACAGCGTGTCTCGTCACATTTCCTAGGGTTTGAGTAAGAAAATAAGCAGTCTATCAAGATTTCCAGAAGGTCCCGGACACCGGGGTTCCTTACTCGTACTCCTTTCCCATTAGACGTAGTATTTGGAGCCCAGCTGCTATCAGGCATCCCATGGTTTGCCGTAGGGTCGGCCGGGCCGCTAGAAACCTATAACACAAGTCTGTAAGCCGCTTATGCGCACAGCGAACCGGCCTTGGACACGGTCCGCGACGACATTAGCGAGCGGATGTAAGTCAGCTTACTAGTTTGTGGAGTGAAACTTCCCTCTTCCCCGAGTAAGCTGTGAGCAATCACTGAGCAAATGGCAAATGGCAAATTCGTCCTCATCACATTTCCTATCAGGGCAGCCAGTCACAGCGAGAAGACGCATTATCCTACTTGGATCTGGCTCACTATAGTTGTGTGCCTACTTTTGCCTTCTCAGTCTTGGTGGGCGACAGTGAAGGAGCAGTGATACACGTCAGGTCGTATTTGATGCAACTGCCGGCACATCTAGAGGATCCTGTCTCGACGATTTCCTCTGAAAAGCTCCAAGATGCGAGACGTCTGCTTACACATGTGCGCTGAAAAAAATACAACGACATCACATGTCCATCAAAAATTGAAGACATTTCTCAATAGGATACGGCGTAGGGACATGTCAAGAGCGCGCGACCACTGCCTTTACCATGGGCCTCTATGGCTAACGATATCCAGAAGTAATTCATGACTTCGGCATGCGAGGTAGCGGGAACATATTTGGACGGATACTCTCGGCTCATACATGCTTCAGACTCCTGTCCTCTCTGCCAGAGACATTGCAACCTCTAAATCCCACTGTCAGACATCTAGCACAGCCATTGTGGCAAGACAAATATGGTCATTAGTATGGTCATCGATAAAAGAGAAACTTCATCCAGCTGGTCAGCGACATGGCCTGGCAAGCATACTCCTTCCAATCGCAATCACCACACCCAACCTCTTCAGATCCGGTGAGAGTAAAACGACTCAATAGGAATGTGAGATTTCCGCATTCAGATCTTGGATGCAGGGGTGCATATTCACTTGCTTTGGCCAGGTATGTACGATGTGCATCATCCGAGACCACTTGCCCTTGCATTCTTCCCGCCCTGTGCGTCACTCATACCCCAAATCGCGATGAAGCAAACCCTATACAGAAATTGCTTGTACCACCAAAAAGAAGTGGAACTCGTCGCAAACCTATAGTGGTAGTGTAGACCAAGGCGCCATCTGGCATTGGTCCAGCCACATGCACACACATGTAGTATATCAAAAACACACATGATAGAATACCAGTACCAATCATATGTCCCCTTGTCAAAATCTCGCAAGCGCGCGCTCTATCCCTTCCTACCCTATCCCTACATGTATTCCCGAAGAAAAAACACCCAGCGCCATATCCACGCGCGAACCTCGCCTCCCAAGCCTTCCCGCGCACACGCAACTCTACCCGAGCCACACCACCCTCCCACAACCCAGCACTATCCCAAAAAAGGCTCAATCCCCTGATACTCTTCTTCACACGTGCAACCCACAAACCCACAAAGTACTCTTGCTGAGAGTATGTGTGTGAGTGTGAGTGTGTGTGTGTGTGTGTGTGTGTGGAACCCACCCACACCCCTCTCTCCCCAGGTCTCCTGCCCTTCAAATCACGCTAGTACTACCCAGTCAAGTCCTACGTTTGTCCAAAGTAAGTCCTCTTCGCGGCAACACTTCCCCCAACCCGCCCATCCGGGCCCTCGCACCCGCGCGTGCGAGCGCGCGCGCATGTGCTCGCAATCACATGTTGCCCGCAACAGCAAGAAGCCGCTACTTTGTGCTAGTAAACGGCTGGGAGGCTTTTTTTTCTGCACGCGCGGAGGTACGTATGTGTGTGTGTGTGTGTGTGTGTGTGTGTGTGGCACGTAAGTTATTGTATAGCGCTATCGACGGTTGGGAAACGGGCCGAATGGCGTACGGCGCAGTTTTTTTAGAAAAAGCGGCAGTGAGGGAAGCGAAGGGGAGGGTAGGGTAGGGTAGGGTGGGAGTATGGTAGAGTCATCATCAGAGAGAGGGAGATGGTTAGAGCGTGAGAGGGGTACGTATGTGTGTGTGTGTGTGTGTGTGTGCCGCTTTTGGCGCATACTACGCATAGGTTATGTTGGGCAACCGCGCGGGTGAAGGAAGAGGGATGCGTATTTTACTGCGGCATGGGGTGTGTGGAATTATTCCGTGCCCCGGTTTGGCGGTTGTAGACAGAGAGGCCCAGTCATGGAGGGTGGTGTTGCGCCGCTGCTAGTCATTGATGCATTTTTTGGGGCGATTTGCGGCGCGGCCAAAGGCCAGTCTTTTTCTTCCTTTGCAGATTGCGGCGTAGGTGTTTTGTGCATGTTGGGCAGGGACGGTGCGGAGTAAAGGTGCAGGGCACTGGGTAAGCTTATTTGGAATAGAATGTTTTTGCCTGTTTAGAGAGTCTTGTAGGTTCGTTTATTGAATGTGCGACCGAATGTGCGTACGTAGGCTTGCGCCGTTTGAGTCTAAAATGGGTGCATAAGGCATGATGGAGAAAGGGATCACCTGGTGTGGCAATCGGTAGAAAAGAATGGATCGTTACAACATCGGTCATTGCTGACCTTAAGCAAGGGTATCTAGTGAAGAGGAAAATATGGATCTGTAAGTCTTGGAAAAGGGCGGTGCGCAGTGCTCGTTTGCCGCTGCCAGCCACGCCCCAATCTCCTGTGCAAGCCGCCCGTTTTTTCTGGAAAACGCCATGCCCGTGCCGCATCGTATCAGGCGAAGCGCTTGTTATCATTCCGGCGAATAATTCATGAGAGGAGGATGGATAAGACGGAGATGAAGAAGGAGGAGAAGACGAAGACGAAGACGAAGAAGTAAAGGGGCACGACTGTGACTAGTTTGCCTGTCATACCCCCGACCTGGAAAGCTCATTCAAGTGTGCAAGAAGGGTAGGGAATTGTTGGGCGGCGGCTCAATAGGACTCATGGCGTAAGGGGCAAAGCCCTGCTGAACATGATGATCGAACTGCGCATATGGCAATGGTGGGTGGTCCATCATTTGCCATTGACGTGAGCATTGCCGTGCTGTCCATTTCTCTTGCGCACCAAACTCCAACATCTATGAGATTGGTAAGCTATGCACTTCAATTGCTACAATTGACACATACCTTTTGCGCAATGATCTCAAACTTGTTTTGTAACCAGTACTCGTGCGCCATACGTAGTGCTTTACGGTCGGTGTCGGTCCAGACGCGCATCCGTTCTCTTAGGCGCTTGTAGCGCATCTGTAGCGCAGGTATCTGATAAGACTTTTGCAGTTCTGTCTGGAAACGTGCTGCAATATCCTTCCACGGCATAGAGTCTTGTTCCTTGAGCTTGAGCAGGAGCTTGTCCTCCTCACTCAACTCAAACTGTGTTGATGTTTGCGAATCTGATCGCTTCCTACGCTTAGAGCTGTCGAGTGTTTCTTCTTCATCCTCATGGTACCTCTTGGTGCTATGCGATCGAGGCGTCTCTTGTGGCAGAGGGGCAATAGGGGTATACATGCGCCGTGGCTGTGGTGAGACCATCTGGTTTGATAGCTCTACTGACGGTTCACTCAGACGAGGACTATGGTTCAGGGATGGAAACGCCGGATAGTACGATTCATGACTGGAGTGGATGCCCAGGGGGTTCATGGCCCAGGAGATGTTCGCTCTTGTGGTATTCAAGTTACTCAAGCTACTGTGATTTCGGTCCAGTAGGTGTGACTGTGGCCCGAGACGCATGGTTGACTGATGTAACGAACACCTTGGGTCGGACTGAGGCTCTTCTGATGGGCTGACAGGCTCGGGTACCGCCGAGTCTCGAGAGTAGACTGTGCCTGGAGACAGGGTAACAGATGGATCCAACTGTGTTGCGGATCCCGGATGTTTTGGCATATAAGGAAACGCTGTTGCTGGCGGCGACAGATTGATAGAGGATGTGTGAGAAGTAATGTAGTTGTTGTATGAGGCATAGCTAGTCTAAGTGGGTGCATGTGAGTAACCAGTCGCAGGGTAAGAATCAAGTACAAACCTCACTAGAGCACTCGGGGGCCGAAATCGAGGGGCCATACCATGCAGAGGCTGGGACATGGATGGCCTCGTGAGAGGGTAGAGGACTTTCCGGCAGATGTGACATTGAGGGCTGGAGCGACTGAGGAGACATGGGAGCAGGCGAGGGGGTCGAGGCGGGGTAAGTATGGCTGTGGTAGGGACTTTGCCACGAGGATGACCTTGACTGGAAGAGGTGTGGAGGAGGGATAGCACATTCAAGTGTAATCGACATGGCCTCTATTCCTGGCGGGAGAGTGAAGGGCCTTATTCTTGCTGCGCCTCTTCTACGCTGGTTGCCAATGAAGCCAGCAAGCAAGGAAGACGGGGCAGTAGCAAGAG